TTGCTTCTTCTTAATATCCTTCACGGCCTCCCGCAAAACTTCTTGGTGATCTTCAAATGTAGGATGGTATGACATTCCTGTTTGAAAATTGTTATCCATTAGTCTTTCTCATATTCAAAATGTGTATATACAATAAAGCTATTATGTTTGATTATTGACAAAGTCAAAATTACTCTACACTTCATTTTACTATCATATTACTGCAATATAATCTTGATATTTGTTATTTCACAATAACAATTTCTTCATATATATTGAAATCTTGGCCTTACCTGCTGCAGGGAGTGGAACTGCTGGGTGAGCTGAAGGCTTCTTTAGTCTGTGTGAAGGAACTGCGATCTTCTGACCCTTCTTTGTCTGAGACTTGTAGTAAGTTGCTATGTTATCTAAATAATCTTCATCAAGACCCTTGTCATAACACTCCTTGACTGTATCATCAGCTGAAATTAATATTCTATGTTAAGACTATAATATATTGTATGGCATATATCATTATTCTCTATAAATGTAATCATTCTTGCTTAAGAAAAAATAATTAAGAAACATAACACTAACCAATATCATGCAAGAATCTAACAAAACTCAAAATATTTTCATTAAGGAAATTTTCTTGTGTTAACCAGCATGAATGCTTATCATTAAAAAAACATTTTCATTTTAAGTCTAAACATGTTTATGAAAGTATAGTTAAGCATATGTAATACTAACTTAGATTTACATTTAAAAACAATTACGACACTCAAATCCCTAAATCAGGAAAGCAAAACCAATTACAATGCAATGAAAATACCAACTGCCCTAAAAGGGGGTTTCTAAAAGACAACTTCACACACACACACACACACACACTCACACAAAAATGTTCAGTACCTATAAAGGTTTTGATACTCTATTATCAAACTAAAAATATTACCATATATCCACCAACAGGAAACATGTTTAAAGTAACCAATTCGAAGGGTGATTGAATTTACAAAGCTTTCTTCCTTATGTATAATGCAAAAGCAAAATATAAAACTTTACTTACTCTCCTCCCAAATATCCTTCTTATTCTTGCACTTAAAGTTGGTCACTTTAACACGATGTCTTCTTATCAAACCTGATTTGATGTCTTCCACTTTTCTCTGATACTTCTTTGCTGTCTTCGGATCCTCTGTTATTCTCTTAGCCTTTTCCTGCATGGCAGCTGTCACAACACCAGCCTTCATTCTAAAGAAAGAAAGAAAGAAGAAAGAAGAAAGAAAAAAAAAAAAAAAAAAAAAAAAAAAGGGGGGGGAATTTAGCCACTTCTAGTGATTTTATTCTGGACTGAACTGAGCCATGGCCCAGGGATTATGCACAATCAGCCATTTTAAGTGAAAAAATAGAAGCACAAGGAAGGCATATTTGGTCAGTTCTGTGCATTTGGAAGCAGCATACACAATTTTCCAGTAATTAAGATTAAACCACTTGGGGGACTTTAACTCACGAATACCTATGCCCAGAGACAAACAAGCAAACAAGTGCTTAGGGCAATAACATAGGGCATATATATATATACATAATCGATATTACATATATATATAATATATATATAATATATATATATAATATATATATATATATATATATATATATATATATATATTATATATAATATAATATATAATATATATATATATATATATATAATATATATATATATATATATAATATATATATATATATATATATATATATAATATATATATATATATATATATAATATATATATATATATATATATATATATATATATATATATATATATATATATATATATATACTTAACATCTTTTCATGAAACTGGGGAGCAAAAGTGAACAGGAATCCTACCTTGGCTTAATAGGGACCTTTGCTCCTTGAAGTCCATCAATAAATCTGAAAGCTTGGATTGGTTCCTTATTGGCTGGTTTTTTAGATGGCTTAAATGTTTCAACCTGTTTCTTGGAGGTAGAGGATCCTGGGGTTGTGTCCAACTGGAATTGCAACTCAACAGCTGTCGACCGGAAAAATCAGGTGGCTTAGTTCATTATTATATCAGTTCGTTTACATAGCTTTCCATTTGACCGCCACTAGATTGGTATTCACAATGTTCTTACATAAAATACATCACCCAAAAACTATCATGTCATATATCTATATCTATATACATTACAGTCTGTATTTCATAAATCTAAAAAAATGAGTGGAAAAAAAGTAAAATCACTGACAGGAATTGTCAAATGATATCCTTAAATCAATAATAGCCTTATCAAAATTATCATAAAAACAACCGTTTTCATATCTTACTACACAGGATAATTATCTCAACTCACCTTCATCATTTTTGTTTTCCTTGGCAATACCACTTCCAGTTTCATAATCACCAGTATCCAAGAACATAAGGTCCTCATCCTCCCTCTCATCCAGTGGACCCCTGTAATTTGAAAAAAAAATATATAAATATATGAAAATACATATTCCTTACAAATACATAACAATATGATATTCCTATACAATTCACATATGTTCAATATCAAATTGCACATCTATCATAATGTGCATATGCTTGTAATATTGATCAGGAAAAACACACACACACAAAAACACACAAAAACACAACAACACACACACACACACACACACACACACACACCACACAACACAACAAACACAAACACAAACACAAACATAAACACAACACAAACACAAGCACAAACACACACACAACACACACACACAACACAAAATGTATATGTATATAAATAGGCAATATATATGTGCATATATATACTTATATATATACACATACATATACACATACATATACATATACATACACATACACATGTATGTATGTATGTATATATATATATATACTATAGACTATATATATACATTACATTAAACACAATTATTTTAACAATAGCTACATTAATAGGATTTGCCACATACTATTTTACCAAAGTTGCATGAATAACTATCAAATTTCCTGTCCATTAGATGGCATGTGTTTCATTAAATGTCTAGAAATATATCTAATAACTTTTTAAAAATCTTCCCGCATAATATAGGACTTTAAACTTAATTCTCAATTTGGTTTATATTCAACTGGTGTACACTTGTTTGGAAAAGAACCTTCAATAATTAAAAAAAACAAAAAAATCAATGGATATTAAATTTTGTCTCTAGACAACAGCCAATGATAACTACCCTTAAAACAAGTTTCATGTTTCTTATAGTTTGGGCCTTTGTGATGTTCGATGTTTGACGTTTGAGGCAGTTCAAGGCCAGTTCTCATACTAACTGGGATGTGTATGATTGTTGTAATGGTTCCAGTGCAGGTTATACAGTGATAATGCATGATATACAATGGCATTGCATCTAGGAGATTAATAATCAAATAAGGATCCAGTCCATGCCCTATCCAGCTAGAATGTGATACAGAATCCCCTGGGAAGGTCATCTAGTGGGTGATCGGAGGAAGTCAAAAGTAGTCTATCATATTTTATTAAAAAGCAAGCAGGACTGGTGTATCTTATGGAATTGGTGCCAGAGCAAAGTCAATCCTGGGGCTATGTATCAAGAGATAAGGAAATGATGTCTGTATCTAGTTGAAGTGGAGCTTGATCCCTCCACACTTCCACCTTTCTCTGGAGGGGCACATGGCCATGTGACTCAGTAGATTGCATTCTTCTGTCTTATTTTGGAAATATTCATGCATGACTTCAAGTATAATAAAGGAATGGTTCCTGATATATATATATATATATATATATATATATATATATATATATATATATATATATATATATATATGCTATACTGCACTAATTTGAATCTTCTGACAATGTTATAGGACTAATTTTGATCTTGAGGGTCATCCTGGGAAACTCAGCATACTTTACAATACTTTATGGAAAAGTATGCAGGTATTGAAAAGCAGCCCTGAGGACTATGGTGAGGAGGTTAGGCAGGTAGAACTCGACCTGCCCCGACTTTCTCCTTTCTCTGAAGTATACAGTGGCCTGGGCTTTACACGGCCACATGATCTATAGCTTGGCTTGACATCATTTTTAACATTCCCACACGGTGTTTTCCAGTCATGCATGTTAGAGATATTCAAGCACGATCTCAAGCATAATACTGGAATGGCTACATATAAGAAATGTTTACCTTTTTGTTGCAACACCATATGACATGGAGGCAACTGGAATCAATTCATACAAAGTATGCCATGCCACTAAGTAAACTGTAATGAATTTCTTTTTACACATTTATATTTTACATCTGGCTGGATTCAAATATGCTCTGTAAGCTCTGTAACCCCCCTATCAAACCATACCCTGCTATCCTCCTGCCCCCTCCTCAAACCTGTTGGAAGGGGAGCCAGCAATTGTGAATTCAGTAAATGAAAGTTTGTCCACAAAATGAATATCAGAATCAGTCCATTTGCAACACACAGCATGATTATCCATCTTGTCTGTGGATGTTCTGTTGTTATAAACAAAGGCATTACCAAAGATATACCAAATTGACAGCATGAAATAATGTATTTTTGATGGGACAGCTTGCATTCATGCAGGAATGGGACCGGTACCACTGAAAGTGATTAGCTAACATGGGTTAATAAAATGAATTATGTTTGAAATCTTACTCTGACATACAATGTGCCCTGTTCTGTAGACTAAAATGTAAATCTATCATCAAAGTGACCGGGAGGCAAAGCTATTGTAGTAATACATCTGTTAAAAATTCAGTTCGGTCATGTACAAAAAGGTCACTGAAATTACAAAATGAAATACTTACCCAAATCGTTCTTCTCGTCTTACATCGTCCAATATTGCCTCTATATCCGATATATCGGCTTTCTTCCTCCATGCTTTCTTCTTGTTTTTATTGTATTTTTTCTTTTTCCCTTCTCCTTCGGTTACCACCTTCATCACGCTGTCTTGTTTACGTTCCACACGAACACGAACACGAGGACGGACACTGTAGCC